CGAACCCCCCCCAACCTCTTCTCCCTCCGCGGCGAGGAACACCCTGACGGGGAGAGAAAGGCCCAGCCAAACCCCGGGGTGCCGGGGCCCGGGGGGATCCCAGCCCACGCCAGCGCGCTCGGGGGGAACGCGGGGGGAGCAGGGCCCGGGTCCCGGCCCGGCAGGAAAAGGGACGTACTCTTGTCCGGTCGCCTTTGAGCCAGCCGGTGGCCGCACAGCAGGCAGAGACGGAAAAGCCGGTTCTGTGGGAGCACGGACAACTTCGCACCGTCAGGAGGCCGGGTATCAGAAATTAACTTTTAAGTAACGGTTTCTGCGTGACAGCAAAGTTTCTCCCGTGGAGTCCGTTTTGTGGTTTTACTGTCCTTCTTCTGACATTTCAGAAATTCTGTCTATCGATTTAAGGAGATCAGCGACGAGCTGCAGCGATTCTGCCCCGGAGACCAGCTGCCTGGAAGGTGGGAGGGGGACAGCATTAGAGCGAGGAGCAGAAAGCAGCCAGGCAGCGTTTTGGTGGCGCTTGCCCATGCGACACCATTTTTTCAAGCAGACGTTTATCTGGACTGAAGACTTCCCTTCTTCAAGTGAAGAACAAGTCTTACAGAAATGAAGTAGAAGAGACTTAGTGTCTAACTGACTTATGTTAATTAAAAAAGAAAGATTTACACGTTCTAGTTACTTTTATTACCTAAACTTGGAAGAAAATACACGGCAGGTAAGAACATGGTCTAGATGATCTGGCCAACCAAATACAAGAACCCACATTTCAGTGCTAAAAAAACCCCACTGGGGACATTTACTTGTGACCGCAGTATTTACACAGTGTTACGAAAATCCTCTTAAAACAACTCACTTTATTGACGACCGGGAGTTTGTTATGACCGTGAGAAGGTTTTGCAAGGCAGCATCTGCATTTTGTTTCACCACGGCCAGACTCGCCGACTGGCCTGACCTTAAGGCTTCATTCTCGGTCTTGTAATTGTTCAGCTGAACCTAGGGAGGAAACAACCAAAAACTACATGAAAATAACCACAAAACTCCGGTGGATACTTTACAACTAAAGCAACTCACGAATACAGCTGTGTATGAGGTGCAACAGCAAACAAATAGATGCCACAACCAGACTGCCTAGGGAGAATGTCTTCCTGGCTCTGGAGGGCAGTCTCTGACGGCAAACTACGACTTAGAAGCCTTTATTAAAACTGAAAACATGCACAGAATATTCCTGCAGCCTACCAGCCAGCAGCCCCGAGTCTGCTTGTTTCACAGAACCAATCCGGAGGTTCAGCAAGGCCAAGGGCCGGGTCCTGCACTTGGGTCACAACAACCCCACGCAACG